GGAAAAAAAATTGTAAATAATTTTTCTGTGCAGAATATTAAAGGAAGGAGAGAATAATCACTGTAGGTTAAAACAGAGATGGCTTCTGCTGTGAGATACAGATACAGGAGTCACCTTCTAACTGGCCACAGCTGCTTCTGCTGTGAGATACAGATACGGGAGTCACCTTCTAACTGGCCACAGCTGCTGCGGGAACACTGGTAACACATTTGTGGATACAGTGTAGGGATGTGTCAAGAGGACTGAAGGAAGCTTATTAGGGAAAGCGTAGACACACTGTGTGGCTAATCACATTGCAAATGTAAGGAAGGAAGCGCTAAGAAATTATTGGGCAGGTGGGTAAACATCAGAGAGTAAGCTGGGCGTGGTGGGGCACACCTGTAAGCCCCACACCTGGCGGAGGCAGGAAGAGGGGAGACTCAAGGTCAGCTTTGGCTAATGGGACTTTGACGCGAAACAAAAACAGGAGAATAAACAAACAAACAAACAAAAGCCAGAGAGGATGAAAGTGCACACTGGGGAAGTTTGGACTCGCTATTTTATGTGAACACGGCCATGAGACATCCCCGGGGGGTTTGAGAGCCTGGCAAAACCTCCCCTTGTTGTTGGCAGCAGGGTGGCACGGAAAGCCCTCCAGGCACGGCATCTCAGTGGTAAGCAAGGTCTTCTCAGACATCTTTGTAAATGCGCGGCTGAACTGACAAAATGTGAAAGCCCCCGAGACCTGACAAAGAGGACAACTCCGAATAGACTAGAAAATGATAAGCTTGTCATCTCCCCGAAGGAATCTGCCAATCCTGAAGGCCTAGCACAGTCAGCAATGATGACCCATAGGCTTCACCCAGCTTGACAGCCAATTGTGTAAATAAAGTTTTATTGGGACAAAACCACACCCCAGCATTTATATGTTGTCTGGCTGTGTTCATGGCTACCATGGCAGACATGAGTTGTAACAACAAGGGCCACACGGCCACACAGCCACAAAGCCTAAAACATAGTTTTTGCAGTCTGATTTTTAAGAAATAATGTGCTGATACCTGGACTGTAGCTAGAGTTTTCCTGCCTGGCCCACAGTCAGGACAAATCTCTATCACCTGCCAGTCCCACAGCCGCTCAAACCCGACCAAGTAAACACAGAGACTTATATTGCTTACAAACTGTATGGCCGTGGCAGGCTTCTTGCTAACTGTTCTTACAGCTTAAATTAATCCATCTCCATTAATCTATACCTTGCCACGTGGCTCGTGGCTTACCGGCATCTTCACATGCTGTTTCTCATCATGGCGGCTGGCAGTGTCTCTCTGACTCAGCCTTCCACTTCCCAGCTTTATTCTCCTCCTTGTCCCGCCTATACTTCCTGCCTAGCCAACGGCCAGTCAAGTGTTTTATTGACCAATCAGCAACACATTTGGCATACCGAACATCCCACAGCACCTGGACTTGAGTTTTAGTTGGCTAAGCTGGGGGAATTTGGGAGGTGCCCTCTGAAAAACGCCATGAGAGCTGGGACCCTCAAAGGTAACCCCTCAGCCCACGAATCAGGACACTTTCTCTGAAGGAGATGGAGGGGACACTCACTTAGTGGTGTCTTGGATGTGGTGGAAGGAAGACAGGCTAACTTTACACAGGCCAAAACCCATATCATCTGTGTGGTAGAAATAAAAAACCTCCCAGCCTAAACTTCGGTTTACTCAAATGATCCATTTGATATCGAGTCTTAAGTTTAGAGCTTTAAATGAAAATCGCCTTGGGTCCCCACAGACAGAAGTTTTCAAACAGCTTAAGCTTTGGATCGAAAAGCACAAAATAGACTAAGAAAGTGAGTTACAAAAGCAAAACTAAGAAGAAAGCCAACTGCAAAATAAGTCACACGAATCACAGGCGCTGAAACTATTAGGTGCCAAATGTTGACTGTGATTAAAGAAGGAAGGACAGCATCAGCCTGGGCATTATGGCTGACACCGTGATCCAGCTCTTGGGGGGCGGAGGCAGGCAGGCCACTGTGAGTTTGAGAACAGCCGGGGTAACAGATTAAGTGAGACCCTGACTCAAAAGACAAAAGGTAACAAAACAAGCAAAAAAGGGTGTCAGACAAGGGGAAAGAAGTCACCAAAAATGGTTAATTGTACTTTAATAGAACCAAATAACACGCCCGGCAAGTTCTAAAACTTTTAAGCATATAGTTGGTGTTATAAAATCCAAGTAACCCAGATACCCAAAGAGAGCAGTAGCAAAGAGGAAAGCAGATGTGAAGAAATCACAAAGAAATTCGAGCAGAAAGGAGGAAGTAAAAAAAAAAAATACAAGAGTAAAGAGATACAAAAGAGTAAAAATCTGATGTTCACTTAATCAAATTATAGGAGGAAAGGCAATTGAAATAATGACTAAAAACATTTGATGAAATACAGTAATCTTCAGAATAAAAATAACTTCAGAGACATGCGATAAATAAATTGGAATGCACAATAGAAAACTATCTAATACCCATAAGAAAAAAACAAATAGAATCATGACTAATTTTTCATCAATTTTGATGATATTAGAAGCTAGTAGAACAATATTTTTAAAGCTCTGTGGAGGAACACACACACACAATTATTTTTCAAGATGAGGGTGTGGGGGCTGGAGACATAGCTCAGTGGTTAAGAATACTCATTCTTGTGGAGGACCTGGGTGTAGTGGGGACCTGTTCCACCTATGACCTTGAGGTACCAGCCCCTAGGGCGTGGCCTCGGGGCACGTAGATCTTGCTCTCTTGGCACTCTCATGAGCTCGGATGGTGTGGACTGACTCAGGCGGCAGAAGCAGCGTGGGACTGGACATCAGCCTTCCAGGACTCTTCAACGATATTGCCTATCCTGTTTAGTGAGTTGTTCTCCCCAATATAATTTCTAAATGAATAGTTCCATTATCTGTGGATTATCTGCAATATGTGGGTTCAGTTCCCAGCACCCACATGGCAACTCATAACTACTGGGGACCCAATGCCCTCTTCTGACCTCTAAGAATACAAGACATGCACGTAGTGCACATACATGCAAGCAAGCAAGACACTCATCGTGGTGGTTTGAAGGAGAATGGGCCTCATAGGCTCACATATTTGAATGTTGTTGTGGAACTGTTTGGGAAGGATTGGGAGGCCCAGCATTGTTGGAGTGTGTGTCACTGGGAGTGGACTTGGAGGTTTCAAAAGCCTGAGCCATTCCCAGCTCACTGTGTGCTTTCTTGCGCTCTCTCTCTCTCCTTTTCCAGCACCATGCCTGCCTGCTTACCACCTTGCTCCCTGCCATGAAGGTCATGGATTCACCTTCTGAAACTGTAAGCAAGTTCCCAATCAAATGCTTTTTTTACAAGTTGCTTTGGTCATGGTGTTTTGTCATGGTGATAGAAAAGTAACTAAGACACTCATAAAATGCAATAAATAAATACATTTAAATAAAACAAAAGGGTGAAAAGTGGGCATGGTGCATAACTTTAATCCTTGCACCCAGGAGGCAGAGGCAGGCAGATCCCTGTGAATTCAAGGCCAGCCTGGTCTACACAGTGAGTCCCAGGCCAGTCAGCCACACAGTGAGGCCCTGTCTCCAAAGAATAAAAGGAAATACCAAGTGAAATAGATTTCAAGGTAAAAGCTATTACTAGAATCAGGGCTTACTACATAACAACAAAAGGTTGGGTTCAAGAGGTTTAATACTTTTTGTGTTGCTGGTGCTGCTATGGTGAGGCGGATCAAACCCTGGGCTTCCTGCAGGAGAGCTTAACTCTCTCACCAAGCTACCTTCAGAGCCCGGAAGAGCTCATCAGCACAGCATTCCTAAGTCCAACACAGTTTCCAGCAGGGAGGAGCTGCAGGGCAGTGCAGGAGCCTCCAGATCCTCTCCTGAGTCATACAAGCCTCATTCCCCAGGCTCAGAGGGCTACAAGGCAGAAAAATGGGCCTTAACTCAGCTTCCAGTCTTCACTGACTATTGCCTCAGCTGAGGAAGACTGCCTTGTCCAAGGGTGTTCTTCCTGCAAGCTAGGTGAGTGACTGGAGTATGGGGTTGAAGGAAGGATTCTGAGGCACACATCCAGAGTCAGAGGACGCCATTGCAGAGGCCTGAAGTCACAGCTCACCTTTTCCTCTGCTCTTCTTCTCCCTTCCCTAATGTCCGCCATGATAATCTCCATCCCAAAGACTGCAACAAATAGCCAGGGCAAGGCACCCAAGTGTGAAAAACCAGAAACGTGGCTGAAGACCAGCAGAGGCAATCAACCTACAGTTGGATTTTTGTGTAATTTATGTAGAGGATGCAATTAAATATTTAGAAACTGAATAAGGTGACTAAATGAACAAATCAGGAAGCTCAAAGATGATGACATCCAGGCTCACAGGTGGCCAAGAAGACTGGAGGAGAGGATGAAGGAGATGCATTGAGGGGAAAACAAGACATTCATAAGCCAACAGTGTTCAATGCTGTTGATAAGAAACCAGCTACAGGGGACATCTGTGTAGCCTAATCACATGGATTTCCCCTTTTGCCTACTAAGTGTATCGATCCTACGACCTGGGGGCCACGTGGGGCCAAAGACAGCTGGGAACGCAGCCCAACCCAAAACCCTAAGCTCGCTTACAACATGGAGATTTATCTGTTGCAGTTTTTGTTTTAGTTTGGTTTGGTTTTGGTTTTTCGAGACAGGGTTTCTCTGTGTAGCATTGTGCCTTTCCTGGAACTCACTTGGTAGCCCAGGCTGGCCTCGAACTCACAGAGATCCGCCTGGCTCTGCTTCCCAAGTACTGGGATTAAAGGCATGCGCCACCACCGCCTGGCAATTTTTGGTTTTGGTAACTTGATTGTATGGTTCTCCAGCTGAGATGGCATGTGTTGCAATGTCAAAAGGTTAGACAGGCCTGAGTCTCACCCCAGGAAATAATAATTTCCCCCACCCCTCCATCCCTCCATCCCTCCACCCCCGCTCCTTCAGACAGAGCTCTTTCCACTGCCAGTCACAGAGCTGGGTGCCTGCTCAGGCTTGGCCTATCAGAGAATGGCCTTCTCCACTCCAGATTTGGCCAATGGGAGATTGCATTTCCCTGGCCTTCAATTTGGACTAGTGAGACTCAGATCTAGGGTTTTATTCAAACCACAAACTAGGCCTTTTATATTTTAGTTGGAGGGCATCAGGTGTGCTGTCAGGTATTACGCCACCAAGATGTCTTAAAATGAAGCCCACGTCTGGCCAGCCTCATGGAACACCTACATAGAGAGAGAGAGAGAGCCTTCAGCTCCACCCCAATCTTCTCATGCTGATCCACTGAATGCCTTTTGTTATTCATGAGGGGGGGTTTCTGTTACTAGCAAACAAAAAATTCTGACAGAACTTGGCTAACCCTCTCCCCATTCCATACTGAGCATAGGAGCATGGGAAGTTAATTTATCTAAAGCCTTACATCATGCCCAGTTCTAATGCTCTAAATGTTACAAAAGTGTTAGCTATTATTAGTTATTATTCCTAATCCCCAAATAAGGACATTCATCCTATTTATAAAATCTTCATGAGAATATGAATAGGCATTCCATTTTCTACTTAGGCAGTTGTGCGACTAATGGGCCAGCTTTTCATCATGCTGCACATCACTGATTGAGGGTTCCGGGTACAAAGCTTCCTCTGTCTGTGATTATTTCCTTACTTTAGAGTGCTTCCAAGAACTATCTGATTCTCAAAGCCTCTATAAGGATATAGAAGCTCTGGCATTTCTATGATGAATTTTCCTTTGTTTTGTTTTTTGTTTTTGTTTTTAGGGTTTTTTGTTGTTTTGTTTGTTTCTTTGTTTGTTTGTTTGGTTGGTTGGTTTTTCAAGACAGGGTTTCTCTGTAGCCCTGGCTGTCCTGGAACTTGCTCTGTAGACCAGGCTGGCCTCGAACTCAGAGATCTGCCTGCCTCTGCCTCCTGAGTGCTGGCATCAAAGGTGTGCACCACCATCGCCCGCCTTTTCCCTTGTATTTTATGTCAAGTAGGTTGTTACACTCACTCCCTCTCTTGTCCTATGATTTAAGCCTATACCTATGATCAAGGTGGTGCTGTGTACTAAAGGGACAGAGAAGTGCTGGTGTTTACAGTGTCCTATACTCTAACTAATGAGGCGGGCAGAGGCATTTGAAAGCATTAAAGGGAAGGGAGAAGGTACCAGAAAGCTCAAAGGACTTTGAAAAGGTCCAGCCATCAGAAATGCATATGACAGGTACTCAGTATCAGTGGAGTGAGCAATGGTCACCTTGGATATCCTGGCGTGTCTCCTGATGCAGCAGGCAGAGTTGGTTAACAGAGCTGGTGTTCTTATATTTCCAAATTCAGGAATCCAAGTTTTGTCATGTGTTTTCCCAATGGCCTTCACTACTCACAACCCTCTAAGGTTCAACAGAAGAATGCTCATTCATCTTAATATCATAGTAAAGCATACTTTAAAAAAACACATACACACAACCCTACAACCTTTAAGATATCAGACACATTTACTCTGATGAAAAAAGGATTCTCTGCGGAAGGGGGAAGGGGCAGGCATGGCTTTAATGGCACAATCGGACTGACCAAAGAAGGGATAAGAAACAATTCAAAAGAAATGGTCACACACGGAAGGACAAATTTATCGATTACCAATAATAATCAAGCCATTTTTCTGAAATTCACAGTCTATCTTGTGCAGACAGTAACAACCCCAAAGCCTGGGTTCAGCGCTCTGGTGGAGTTTCTTCTGCCTGGTTACCTTTGCCATGCTCTAAGCACCAAAGGTTTTGTTGTAGAAAATCAATATCAACCCATATTTTCCAGAATAAGGTCACCAGCTCAGCACCATTCCCATTCCAGTAAATGACCAAGGACAAGAGATGAACTTTCACCTGAGATGGCCTCTGTACCCAGGATCCAGGCCCCAACATCCAGAGATCTCAGCAACTCTCCTGAGTAAGTAGGTTGTCAGTGTCCACCCATGCTATAGGGCGAAAAGAGCTAAGGAAAAAACACTGTGCCCCTGAGCAGACCTGAGATCTGGCCCAAGGAAAAACACCCTGACCTGACCCCCAGGACCAGGGCTTGAAATCCCACGAATCCCTGAGCTTGCCCCAGAGTCAGGCTGCAGAATCCCACCAATCCCTCAGCTTGCCCCAGAATCAGACCACAAAATCCACCAATCCCAAGCTACCCTGGAAAGCTGCCCCCCCACCATAAGCTCTGCACCCTGTTCAGTTCTCTGCTGCTTCTCACCTCAGGGGCAGCCACCCTCCTGGATTCTTCCTTCCCAATAAATCTCTTGAGTGAGGTTTGTTGTGGAGTGTAACATTTTTGCTGGAGTGGAGCCCAGCTCTAATAACTTTTGCCAGAGCCAGAGAGCAAGAGCAGAACTGTGACACTTTCACTGGGGAAGAGTTGTTATGCTCCAGGGGTGCTGAGCAGAGCTGTAACAACTTCTCTGGGGAAACCCTCCCCTGCCGGAGCGGAGTTGTTACACTGACTGGGGAACCTTCCCTGGAGCAGGGCCGTAAGCAGCTGTGTTTACAGTGACTTTGCGGTATTCCCGCTCCATCTTCTGCCTCAGCTGCAATGCTGACAGGTGCATTACCTTGCACTGATGAAGTCAGTCATCTGGCAAACCTTGGAACAAGAGAATACAGCTTCACCTCTCTTGTCTTCAGGTTTTCACCTAAGTTCTAGACCCTGTGTTCATAAGTCACACCTCTTTCACGCCCTAACTCCCCAACCCACTCTGTTTCTCCTTGTATCTTAATGATTGTCTGAAATCGCAAATCATCCTTGACTTTTCCTTCCCTCTGTTTCTCACGTGCAAGCTATAATGAAGGTCTATTACTTCAAAATCCAAACAGAAGCCCAGAATCTGTCTCTAGAACCTTCTCACTCCCTCCTTTCCAGATGCCACCATCTTCTCTCACACTATCAGTTCACACTCGAGACACCTACAGTGGCCTCCTAATGTCTTCAGGCCGAGCCCTCTGCTATCCCACTGCACCAAGCTCTCTCCCACGCTGGACTGTTCCTTTCTGCAGGGACTTCATCGAGACCACCTCTTCTCACACTTCATCCAGGTCTTAGTACATCTCTCCCATCTCCTGCCAGGCTATTACAACAACTGGTTCACCTGCTAGTTGTCTATGGTCTTTCCATTAGACTGTAAATTTCACGGGGCAAAGATCATGTCCTCTCTGTTTACCATGTCCCCAGTACTAGAACAGTGAGTGACCGGCAGGAGTGAGCAGCTCGCTAGATTTGACTTGAGCGAATGAATGCTTTGAAGACTCAATTTTCCAGTGCTCACAAGGGCATCCAAGGGTTGCCATGAGCCACAAACAGCAGATTCCCCACCTCATAGCCTTGCACTCCCTACCCCCGCCACCTCTCTGTTCCCACTTAAACATGGCTCTGCTGTGAGAAGAGAACCAGCAGTCTCTCCAGTAGAAGCTGCTCTTTCTCCCACTCGGGCACCTCACCGGAAGGTGGATTTACTCCAGACCCTCCTGAGAAGGAGCACAGCACAGAAGGGTTCGCTAACTTCTCAAAGAAAACCATTTAGTGAGGCAGCCAGGAAGGATGAGAGAACTCAGGGGAAGAGAGGTCATCCCATGAACTTTAAAACCTAACTTACGGCTTTACAGTGCTGTGACACGTGTGTATGAACTTATATTTATAAATGTGTATATGTAAATGTATTCATATTAATACCCAGTCGTCCAGTAGACCCGCTGTCCTGACATCCCATTCACATACAGGGGTGTGCAGGGGCTCTAGGCTTCTGTGTAGATGAAATTTAGTGTGCTCTGAAGGGACACGCGCTTGAGCATGTGCGTGAGTTGGAGCTCAGAGCTAACTGCCACAGTCTTAGCAGCCACTTCCCACCTTCAGGCCACGGAGAAGCTGGGACCTGGCACTTACTTCACTTCTGTGCAGCCTTTTCTCTGTCTAAGCTTTCACAGCCTCGAAGGGGGTTACTGCAGTCACGAAGGGCAGTCCATGAATCATGTATGCTCTTTGGAGGCAATGAAATCACCACCTCCACCTCCGGAGACTGTATCAGGTAGAGATAACAATCTAAAATTGGAGCATTTACAGCAAAAGGTGTTTAAACATCTCTCAAAGAATATATAACAATAACAGTGAGGATAACAATACCACCGATAGTATAAAAGTAACATTTCTGGAACCCCAGTTGGCCCCGGGCAGTGTTCTACATGCTTTCCCATGCTAATCTGTTTGTCAAATAGCCCTGTTGGAAGAACTGCTCTTATTTCCAGGTTACTGGACACTAGAGCCGAAATACCTGTCTGGAAGACATACAGTTAGAGCTTCTGAGGGCCAAGCGAGGCTCAAACACAAACGCTCAGATTCCAGCTCTGCTCTCCGCTGCTGCTTGTCTTTGCTTGTGTGTGTGTGTGTGTTTGAGACAATCTCACTGTGCAGCCCAGGACACTTTGGACTTTTGGTCCTTTTGCCTCAGCCTTCTGGTTGCTGGGATTACAAGCACGCACCATCACGCCTGGCTGTTGTACCACTTTCTTATTCTTCTTTACTCAGAAAAAAAGAAAATACCAAGTTATTTTAGGGCTAAGCCGAAGAAGTAAGCTGATCAAGCTTTCCTTATTTAATGACGTAATTTAACTTTCCATATGTACTATGTATACATGAGTAACATGTATCTATAGAAATACACCCTACACGTACTGGTAGTGATAAAGAAGCAAATTAAGTTTCTGAAATCTCTTAATGCAGAGTTTACATTAATATTTTAATTAATTAATTTGGCAAGGGACTAGAGCACACCCTACTGGCCAGCTAATAGGAAATACAGTACATACTTTAGACAAAATGTTTAAATGTGAAATACTTAAGAGAAGCTTGAAAAAAAAAACTATCTCAAAAACATCTAGCTTATGTATCTAAATATATTAATCCATAGGATGTTAAAAATGTCTTAAAGTTATAAGTTCTAGAGATGTGGGTAGAATTGGGAATACAATGCTTGTTAAGGGAGGCTTACGTACATAAAAGACGACTCAATTAAAAACAAATGGGCTGGGCAGTGGTGGCGCACGCCTTTAATCCCAGCACTCGAGAGGTAGAGCCAGGAGGATCTCTGTGAGTTCGAGGCCAGCCTGGTCTACAGAGTGAGTTCCAGGACAGGTACCAAAACTACCCAGAGAAACCTTGTCTCAAAAAAACAAAAAACAAACCAAACAAACAACCCCCCGCCCCCCCCCAAAAGATGGAGTCTGTCTTCATTCTGAGGAAAAGAAGTCAATTCCTTCCCTACAACACTCCAAACAACAGACTAGGAAATTCTAATACAATTAGCACACACAATCTTCTCATAGGCTACAAATCACTCCCAACCTTTGTGGCGTGCGTGTGCGTGTGCGCGTGCGCGTGTGCGTGTGTGTGTTGTGTGCCCTTTTAAAGAGAAAATCTAGAAAAGGACAGCAATATCCTGAATTACAGAAAGAAAAACAGAAATGTTGCGAACCACTGTTTTGCGCGTGCGCCTGCTACTTTTCCTATGGCAGCTGAAGTTCAAAGTTCTGGGGAAGCCTCTGCTGTCATGCAGCACTCCTTGTGAATGAATCCCAGGGTTCTTACTCTTTTTATTGTTTCAGAAGTTCAGACATGGCTGTAGTGGACTTTGATCAAGTCCACCCCTGCTCCCTCCCTTTCAGCTCCTTCCCAGGCCCTCTTAAACTTTTCAAAAATAACATTTAGTCATTTAGGTGTGAGTGCGTGTGTGGAGGTCAGAGGGCAACTTGCAGGACATGGGTCTCTCCTTCCATCATGTGAGTCCCAGAGATGGAACTCAGGTGAGCCGTCTGGACAGTCTGAGTCTCAGGTTCTTATGCGGGCTTTGAAGTAACCCACAGTTTGCTGCAGATATGGGGGGGGGGCTATTTCCAACAGTGTAGTACAGTAAACAAAAGGCCTCTAAGAAATAATAGTTTCCACTGTTCATGTATTTTTATTGCACTCATCTACAGACTAGTAAAAGGTGTCTAATACATCTTATGTATTGAGAAAAACAAAGGCCCTAAGATTAATAGGGTAATGCGAAATGTGTTTCTCTTTTAAGTATTTCTTTTTAAACAAAGCACACAGAACACTTATAATGAAGAATAAACACAGAAATGTGTGTAGTCTTTTATAGGTTTGCTAAGGCCCTGTGTGGCACATCGACGCTTAGACATGACATGTGGGATCGCTTTAAGAGAGCAGAGGAAAAGTACCTCTGTGAGTCTCAGGTTTCTGAGCCAGAACCTCAACCTCGCTCTTCCTCCAGAGGCGGTTAAAACAGAGTGGTGCAAAATGACAAACCGGGTCAACATGACAGAAGACTAATGTTTTAAGACATGGTATTTCACTTCTGCTTTTAGAGAAATCAGCTAATAAAAATTCCTCGGGAAATGGCCTCAAAGCTAAACCAACTTTGAAAGACTTTAAAAAAGAAAAAAGTTTCAATTTCTGGGTAGAGGCAATTTAAAACAAGTTAGAAAAGAATATTTCCTCTAACTCTCTACTCTGGTATCTGAACTGCTAAAGTCAATGAACAGCAAGGGATCCGCAGACCAGAACAACTCCACGTGGCTCAGTGTTTTCACCTCAAACTCTTCTCACACTAGTCTACATTGTTTGGCATATCAACGTTATTCTAAACTATTATTAAGCAGCCTGTAGAGCATAAGTTTTCTCACATAATTCCTCCACAGCTGAGAACACTCCATTAATATGAGTAATTATGGCCTAAAGTCAGCGAAACAGAAGTTCTAATTACTTTTCCCCCCAAAAAAAGTGTAAGGTAAATGTTTATTTTGCAAGTTTAAAGTAGATCTGAAGAGAAAAACCAGATAAATCATAAAACTATTTTGTGATTTTTTAAAATATAATTTACCAAAACACTAGCACATCCCACAGCTCACAAGGGTAGATGAGTATCCTGTTGTCCGTCTTTCTCCACAGAAGGGGTGTGTCCCAGGGTTGCTCTGGTGATTATCACTGTTTTATGAATAGGGGATATAAAAGCACACCAATAAGGCTAGAGCACAAATTACAACTGTATTGTAGTCACCAGAAATAGAGTAGCCAGGGCTCTTTTTGGAGGAAACTGGACCCACTGAAGTCCCCATTCAGTAAACGCTGCACTGGGAGGCCTGAAAAGCTGTTCTCAGGTAGATCTTTTAAACACACACACACACACACACACACACACACACACACACACACACACACACACACAGAGGGGTGAGGGGAGAGGGAAGGAGAGAGAGAAGGGGAGGGGCACAGAGCATATGGGTATGAAAGGTGAGGGGCATGTGTGACTTCCAAAGCCCAGTCAAGCTGCGTGTAGTGACTTCCTGCCACCTGTAAATCTCAACACTCTGGAGGCTGAAGGATCATGGCATTTGAGGTTAACCTGAGCTATACAGTGAGTTCTAGGGCAGCTTGGGCTACAGAGTAAACTGTCTCAAAACCCACCAAAACCTAAATAAGCAAGTAAATAATAAATATCTAGTTAATTTGGCAATGACTAATATCCATAAGGTTAAAATCCTTACTATGTGAAAGGCAATAAAAAGATGGGAGAATTGGACTTGTAGACCCACCAGCAGGAGGAGAAGTAGACTTCCAGCATTTGGTCAGCCTGCCCCTGAGAATAAACAGGCAAAGGAATACTTGAGATTTTTCTTTTCTTTCTTAAAATCTGGTGTTTGAGGCCTTGAATTTAAAATTAGGCCTTTGAGTTAAATTAAAAAGAATGCAAGTCAATACTGGAAAAGGCAAATCATTTCACGGGGCACGAAGTTAATAGTTAACCAGATAACGAGGCCAGAGCCTCATTCCATATGTTAAACTGGCCCAATTAGGTAGTGCTGAGCATATAACTATCAGGCATTCTTGCTGAAGTGCAAGAAGGGCTCTGTGCAGACCAGAGGTCAGCCACGGGTCTGTGGCCTCTACTCTCAGGAACACCATTAGCGAAATTTGTACTAGTTCAAACTGGAGGGCTTTAGTCTGTTTGCCTTTTTTCTTTAACTACTCTTGGTTTATCGTTGTATTATTTATTTTACGGTTAAACTGTAAACCTAAGTTGCATCACCGGATTTCTGCCCCAAGAAACCTCCTCCCTCCAGACTTGATGGCGTTTTGTCCTTGGGCATCAGCGGCCACCCTGGGGCCAAGAGGCACGGAGAACAGTACGAGCTGGACAGGTAAACCAAGAGGGCTGGGGGCAGGTGTGAGGGAGGCGCCCAAGATCAGCCCAGCTCTGCCCCAGGCCAGGGGCAGGGGAGTCTGGAGGGAGGCCTCCCTGATCCTGCCCACAGAGCGTGGCCGACCGCCCCCGGCCGTCTCTCCCTGTCGTGCTGTCTCTCACCTTCCTATACTGTCCCTCACTCTCCCACACTGCCCTTTGATTGCCCACATTAATCGTCACAGTGCTCTGCAGTGGCTCGCCCTGCTCGCCCTGCTCGCCCCTGCCCCTCCATCCCTCGGTGTCCTCAGCCAGGCCCTGTCCGCTGGCTGCAGTCCCATACTCCATCCCCTGCAGGACGCGGGTGGACGTACCGCCAGCCCTCACTGCCCCTCGTCCCTCTCCAGTCTTCCTCTCTCTCCCTGCCACCCCTCGCCTCTCCCTCACTGCACCTCAGGGTGCCCCCTCCGTCCCACGCCCCTCCCCACCCCGGGGTCTTCCTCGGCCCGCGCGCACCTCAGCGCCACTTCCTTCCCCAGGGGCAGGAAACAGGGCCGCTCACAGCCTTCTGAGGAAGGCTCAGTCAGGCCTTGGGGCTCGGCGGCTCGCACAGCTGCAGCCCAGTCAGAAACGTCCCCTCGGGAGACGAGGCGGCCAGCGACGCCTGGCGGGCCCCACACGAACGCTTTCGTCGCGGCATTGCCCCTTTAAGCAGCCGGCCGCCCGGATTGGCCGCCCGGGGGAGGCGGGGCAGTGAGCGTCGACGTCACGCTGTCGGCTCATCCTATATATACGGGCGGCGGCCCGGCGGCGGCCGAGTGCAAGGCGGGGAGTGTGAGCTGTGTAGTGTGCGAGCGAGCGAGCGTGCGGGCGGGCGGGCGGGCGAAAGCACGGGCGACCGAAAGCACTAGCAAGCCTACGAGTGAGCAAAGAGAGAGAGAGGGAAGGCGAGAGAGCGGCGAGGCGCCTGCGCGATGCTCGGGCCCCTGAGCCCGCGGCGCTGAGCCAGCCGGAACGGACATGCGCGGGAGGGCGCCGCGGGGCCCCGCTCCCCTGGGGTAAGGGGCCTGGCGGGTGTCGGGGAGCCGCGGGACACGGGGTGAGGGCGGACGGGCGGGCTGGACCGGGGGCGGCGGCGGCGGCGCTGCTTCCAGGGGAGGTGCGCGGGATGGGCCGGGGCGCGTGAGTGAGGAGCCGCGGGCCGTGGGCGCTCTCGGCTTCCCGCCGGGGCCATGCACCGGCGCGCACACGACACGTCTCCACAGCCCGGGGCTCCGGAGCGGCGGCTGCAGGGTCTGCTGCGGCCGGGGGATGCTGCGGGGAGGCTGGGACCCCCTCCATCTTCCCTCTCACCCCGCGCACCCGTCAGTCCGGCCCAGAAAGCTCCAGCGAGAAGCTGCTGCGGGCTCGGAGATTGCTAGTCCCTGGTTGGTACCAGTTCTGAGTCGCAGTCCGACTCGGCGACGAAGGTCATTGCCTTTTTTTTTATTTTTTAATTCATCCGAGTTCTTCCGTGGCCTTTTCCTCCCCAGGAACGTGATTCTTTGCCTTAAATGAATTAAATTTTACAGAAGGAATGAAACTGCAGAATGAACTGTTCAATCGCAAAGGCTTCTTGGCAGTATCGTGTATTTATATGTATGTCGTATCTTTGTTCAGATTAGCCGTGATTGGTGGTGCTGGATGGGTGCTTCCTCAGTCTTTATTAGGATTTCATCATTGCTTGAAAGAAACCGGTCTCCTACCTGATAAAAATGTGAATAGATTGTTAGTCATAAACTTAAGTGTAGTAAGAATAGAGACTGTAGCTTTAAAAGAGATGTGACGGGAGGCACACCTGCAGCACAGGTAGGGCCGGACTGGTTTCCAGGCAACTGTCAGGGGTGAAGAAAGGTGAGGTATAAATTGCCTTTTTTCTTTTTTTTAAACCTCTTGAAAAAAAAAGGGGGGGGGGAGTTCTACAGTTTTAAACTTCCTTAAGTCTGTCTATACTGGTGTAGTGGGTCTGCATCTGCTGAGACTGGAACGTCAGAGTTCACTATCTGCTCTTGCTTTTTAAAAACCTTTCTTAAAACATGTATGCAATTACAGAGTTTTAAGAAAAATTTTGCTTAAGAGACCAAAGGTAGTCTGAATACCTATATCAGCAAAAGGGCAAATTTTATAAAGACAAAAATAATAAGCTGGTTTCTTACCTGTTAATTATGGCTGATTCTTATCAGTCCATCCCTTTCTGGATATTAGGAGGTTTGAAAGGAAATACATGAAGATTTTTTTTTAACAGGGACTGGACACATTATCATGGCCTCCACATCCTCACCTGTGTTCTGGTGGACATTTGCTAATAAGTGGTAAAAATCTTGAACTGTAGATTTCTATCTTGGCAAATAAATTAGATGATAAACTCTTTAAGGGCAGGCACTCTGCCTTGAATAGCTTTTATTTTACACAGCCTTGCACATAGTTGGTGTTGATAAATAAATGCATGAAGGCTCATCAGGATTGACCCAGGCACTGATAAGGTTTGGAAAGAAAATCTGTTGTTCTTTTTTAATGGCTGTTACAAAATGTCTGAATTACTCATATTTTTGAGAGGTAGAATTACTGATTTTTAACGAGCTGGATTTCGTACTTTGAGTTCACAATAGATACTTTTGAGCCATTTGTGTGACTTAATTATGTTGTAGTTTTTTGTTTTGTTTTGTTTTTTAATGAAACTCTTTATTGCCACTTCTCCGAAGTTGTACTAGATAATACTGCCTTTCTGCTCGTACTAATTGTAGCTTTTAAAAGCAAGTTCCCTAAATTACAGGTGCAATCTAACATGCTTGCAGCTGACCTGATTGTCAGCATACCATCAAGTTGCTGTAGAAGAGAGCAGAGGAGGGAAAGGTGGTGCCCGGGATAATTCCTGGAATTTGAATGTCGTTGGCTCCCTCTACAGAGAAACAACCCCACTCTTAATCTCCATAAATATGAACTGGTACCTCATCGTCAGGATGCACATAACATCCTTTGCAGGTGTTGGCCGTGCTTTAGGAAAGCTAATGAGTAATAACTCACTAGATAAGTACAATTCAATTGTGGCGTTCTGACATTACTCACACAGTTTAAACTCGATAAATGTGGATAAAACTGGTGAACTTCAGAGTCCAGAATGTAAATTAGTAACTTAACAAGATTGCTGTTGAGAGAAAAGTTAGTGTGGGATTCAAACTTAGAGGTGAGATTTGTAGTCGTCATTGATAGTTTAGTCCATTTTATAATACACAGTTGGGGGCAGGGGTATTGAAAATGGCTAGTCTTTCAGGCCTCAGTGAATAATACCTTTAAAATCTGGAATTAGAGGTCTTTTCAGTTTTAAATAGAATGGTAGTAAGGACTAGAAGTTACTGTTCGAAAGCTCTTATTAACAACCCATAGACAAGAAGAAACTTCGCTAGTTACAGAGTTTTACTCCACATGGAAGGTGCTTCTCCTACCTCATCATTCCATGGTTGTCCTTTCCCTGCCCTTTAAGACATCAGTTCTGAAGCCACCTGTCTAGTGAGGCCTCCTCTGACCACCTGTGTAAATAGTTCCCTGCCTCCTTATCCTGTCACAAGATATCACCTTCTGACATTTATTATCCCCCTCCTCCTTAGATAGAGGGTTTCATCAGGCAGCAGTCATTTTTCTTCATCTAAAGTAGTATCTAGTCCAGCAGAAGCATTCAGTATGCATTTGTGAAAATAACTGTTTGTTCTCCTAAAAGTTTGACCTGAAGAAGTTGAGGACCTGTTCCTGTCTTTGCAGTTAGCTAACGTGGAGGTCTTAACTATCCCTCCTTTGTATGGTATCATCCCTTTAGGTAAGCAAGCGTGTTAGAAGAAGCAAGGCTGCTGCCTAAAATGATGATACCACAGAAGGGAGAGGTGGTGGAAGTGTGGTGAGGAAAATGCTGGCTAGCTTACAGCCCAGAACAGCCCAGATGGCCTTTTTGCTCAGAGCAGTTTGTTTCACTCAACTGCATTCCTTATTAGCAGAGTGGAGATTATAATCCCTGCCTCTTCTTAGAGGGATGTTGTAGGGATCAAGTGAGATAATGTGTAAGAAAGTGCTTTGTAATTTGTAGAGTGCTTTACAGATAAAAGAATTCTGTTACTGAATTCCAGGTTTTATGATAGAGCCAAGTTATATTGGGATCCATGCTATGAGAGTATTAAAAGGAAGCCTATTGGATACATGTAGTAACCCTTTTACAAGTAAGGACAAATATATGTCACATCAGATACTATGTATGACAGAGCCATTGTGGGGCATCATTGTAACAGTAAAGATAAAGACCATCAAAAGAAGTATTTCAAGTGGTCAGAAGGTTAATTTATGCCTTGATCTGCCCAGTTTAGATATCTAGGCCAAATAGATAATTGGTGACTTTTTAGTAGGGAAATTTGAGGAAGTGAAATGAGAACGTTCATAGGCTACAGGTTAGTTACCCAAGGAAATAGTTACCAAATATAATCCCTCCAAAAATGTATTCGCCTTACCCATAGAAATCAACTGTGTATCTTAAGCATTTTAGCCCATCAGTTGAAGAGCCTGGCGGACTAGAAGAGAGGCTGTGGTATGATCAAGAGACTGAACTTTGAGGCCAGGTTTCCTGGAGTAAGCCTTGGTGTTACTGTGGCTCATCAGATCTGAGATGGACCAAGTTCCAGAAGCTCCTCAACCGTAATTGAGAGTAGTAATGGTAACCCACCGGTACCTTACAGGGTTGGTGCAAGGACAAAACCCTGAAAAGGCTTCCTGACAGACAGTGTCCTATGAATGTTACTTATTATTAACACCTATGTGTTAGTTTTAACAATCTGGAGCTGCCCATTGGGTGACTTAAATGCTTGTTAAATAACCGTGAAGTTTTAAAGGCTCACTTCCCATCAGTAGACTACTGTGCTCCTTGTCATTAAGATTACAGCAGACTCCACAGGTCTTTCACAGGTACGGTACACTGCTTGTGTCAGAAAGGAAGTCTTCCATCCTGTGTGCGCTCACCTGTTTGTGGGTGACTGCTGGTGGCTGTGCTCTGTAGGACAGGTACCGATGACAAAACAATGCATTGCTGAGACACAGACCGAATTACAGCTATTGGTTGTGGTGGATGAACGAATTGGGGGGGGGGGGGTTAGCTTACTGTTTCTTAAAATACTTAGCTAGGAATTTCTGACTTACTGAAGAAGTTCTAGCCTTTGATTTTTATTTTGACAGTCTGGATATAGAATGTTTTCCTTGTTGCCTCCACTTTCACCGGGTGCGAGTGGGCCAGAGTGGGGGGGGGGGGGGTACATTTAGAGCCCTCTGAGGAATGCAGTTGAAAACACAGAAATCTTCATTTCCATTTCATCCTTTTGAACAGCATTTTCATATTTGTTGAAGCTGTCACATTTTACTTGATTCTATGCATGAGTATCATAGTTCATTTTACTTTAAAAGTCATTGATGCATCTAATACAGAGGCCATTTCTGCCTGGTTTTCACGGAAGCATATAACAAAGATTTTCTTAACTTGCCTCTTTCTTTCCCTATCCCCAAATCATAGCTTCTGAAATGAAACCGAACAGGCTTTTACTTCAGGCCTGTGTCCTGAAGTAGCTGTGCAGACTGAAGTAGCTGTGCAGACTGAAGTGGCTGTGCAGACTGAAGTGGCTGTGCAGACTGCTGCCCCTTTGCCTTCAGTAAATGAGAGCAGGTGGCGGCATCTGCTTGACTCGACAGTTGCCTTCGTAACTCCTTCACATCCAGGAAGATGCATGGTCACTCTTTAACAGCCGAGTGACTAGAAGTGTGACCTATTCTATGATTTTAGATCCTCCTGCATAGCTACAGTAATGCTGAGCATGCAGGTAGATGTTAAGTGGTTTTCCTCAGATTATTAATAAAAATCCACAAAACAGCCAATAAAACTGATTTCCATTTTCTCTCAAAGGTGATCAGACTTTCTTTAAACGAGCATAGACAGTGGTGTATTTGGAGAAGCTCAAAGGTCACAGCATGTACCAAGTTTCTAATCACTTTCTTTGATGAATTTTGGCTTTGTAGTTACGTTATGTCTTCCCTGGTTAGGTAGGTAATTGTTAAATGCAGCTGAAAAGACCAATTATCATTCTGAAGAAACATAAATCAGGTTCTAGAACCAGATTGAAAGAAGGAAATTACATCACACTCTTAAATAAGGAAGCACTGGGCAGAACTGGATGAGTTGTAAGACAAAAATGTGCCCCTCCTCCTCTCGTGGATTGCTCCTGAGATGTGTTAGTGAGATCTCAGAGCAAGGTAAGCGTATCTAGGTTACTGCCTTAAGGTAGCCTGGCTTTGTGTGTTAAAGCAGTGTCAAAGTGAGTATTTTCAAGATAAAGGCATGTGAGTTCATAGAAAGCCATGTGCAATGTGCTCTTTGGGTATAATGTGACTGTTTTGTTTTGTTTTGTTTTTAAAGAAAGTAACAGAGTAGCAACAAAAGCAAGGTAGATGGATTACAATCCCACAGGAGTAGTATGTAAAAAAGTACAGTTTGTTTTCACTGCTTTAAGTACATCCTAACAAGCCATTTAGAGAGGAGAGCCATGCTAGCCGCCATTGATGCTTAGACTTTTTACTCAGCCTACATACTGCCCACTTTGGATTTGGGAAGTGAATTTAGGATATTCTACATGTGTTAGATTATTATTGGGCCATCTCAACCTTCTAGTAATAGTGGATCCTGTAACAATTTTTTGTGCTTTTCCCCTTAGCTCCTCTTTTTAGCCTGGGGAAGATCTCATGTAATTACATTTTAAAGTATGAGATGGCTGTTTTCTCAGTGTTCACTTAATATTTAAGTAAATATGCCATGATCTACAGGGGGGAATGTCAGGCACCAGTCCTGGATTTGGAGGGTAGGAGGGGAGCCTGGGCATAGCACAGGATAGCTAGGAACAGAGAGAGAGACGTGGTTCTGGCTTTCAATAAAAGACGGGCTTGTTGAGGGAGCACAGCAGAAGAGTGAGTCCTCAGGGGTAGAGGACGAGCGAGCGACAGCTGGAAAGGGTGGGTGAGGTAAGGCCTCTTTGTGGGGGTCTTTGTGCCAGGGAGGGAGGCTTTAGAGGCTTTTATGGCTTCTTTTTGGGGTGGCAGTTGAGGAATATTGATCTGATCCTGTTGGTTGTAGTATGGTTTTAAGTATTTTCAGACTGGAGGCCAGCTGTGGAGCCAGTAAGGGGAAGAGAGGCTTGAGAAAATGTAGACTGTATGGAGGTTGGCAGTTGAAACTCAGGCTCACAGTGTCACCTCAGGAAATGTGATCCTCCTCCAACAGAAAGGGGCGGGGGGGGGGGGGGGGTTAAGAGAAGGAATTGGTTTCAGAGCCTGTGAGATGCCAGAGGCCCATCCAAGTGGAAAGATAATCACCAGACAGTAAGAAATGCAAAGTTGAAGCCAGGTTGCACTTACCTGTTTAGGAACTGTCTGTGGAGTTGAAGCCATAGAAATGAATTAAATGATTTTAAGAGTAAAATCTTTAAAAAGGCTACTAACAGAAATGAGGTATTGGTATTTAACTGCATTTTGCCTCACTAAGAGTATTAAAATTACTTCATGATTGTATAAGTTATGTCATGCCCAAGGTTATTTAGGTCCTGGTCTGTACTGTGCTACCTGAATCAATACTCATTTTGCTGTTCTTGCATTTCCTAACAGGATATCATCTTGTACTTTGAGGTATTGATATTCGTACGTATCTTTGCAGTTATTTTCTTCATGGTTTGAAAGGTAGAGCTAGCTCTGCAGTTAGAAGGACTTGAATAAAATTTAAAACATTGTAGCATTAGTCAAATCTCACTTGAGCAATATGTGTTGCTCTATTTATTAGCTTAAATTTGACCAAGTTGATTTTTCTGTCCCCATCAGGAATAAACAGCCTGATACTGGTTTTGTGTTTTTTTAAGAGAGGTAGAAGACGTTCTTTCAAGTGGTTTTCTAACCTTAGTTTAAAATCTGGAGAGAGAGTGTGTGTATCTAAACCTTAAACCTGTGGCATGTTGCTCTTTGGGGTTTTACAGCCTGAAGTTATTTTCCAAAGGATGAGAACACAGCAGTTATATTGCTCTCCTTGCTTCTGCCATGCAAGCAAGTAGGAAGTTCGGATAGTTTCATAACATGGCCCATTCACAATTCCCCATTGAAATTTAGAGGCAGGTCACCTTCTATGAATACACAAAGACACTATTGTGGTCAGAAGTGAGCTGGCTTAGTGAACACAATTCTTTTTATACTAAAAAAATTTTTTTTTCCTTAAGAAAGCTAACAAGGAGGTGATGGAAACAATGAATAAAAAATAACTTTTTCTAGAACATATAAATAATTTTAAGTGACCACTGAAATGTAAGTTTAGGATTCCAAGGCAGCTTGAGCAGAGGCGATGGTTACACAATCATTCTGTTGAAAGCTAAGATGTAGATGCATTAGGAGGCCGACACAGTAATTACTAGTAGTACTGGTTGGCTTGCCACAGGTGGGGGCTGGGCCTTCAGAACCCCGCAGCCTTGTCCTGTGATCGGGATGAACAGTCTTCAGACGTGTGCTTTCCAACTACTTAAACACCACGTTCTTCCTCCCCTCTCGTCTTTCATTTTCACATCACCACAGACCCTTTCCCTGTAGTCTGTCAGTGCTGTTTAGAAAAGGCTTGATAAGCCCTGGCTAAGCACACACAGGGAGAGGCTAGCCTTTTTTAAAGTGTTTTTTAAATTATTACTTTATAGTAAATGACACATCTGCTTCATTTCAGTAATCTAAAAACAAGACTCAAAGACCTCCCATTAAATGAGGATTTTTAAGTGACAGATCTTTTTTGTGTGTGTGTGTGTGTCATGTGTCTTTGAGAGACTGGTTTAAAAAAAAATAAGGTTGACTCTTTGAAATAATATTGTAAGCCTGTCATAAAATCACTGCCTCAGTCATCGAAACAACTAGCTTTGTAAACATCTATGGAGTATTTTTTTTTAGATCATTAGCTTAAAAAAACAAACAAAACCCTTATGCCTTCCATATGGTTTATATTCAGTTGATAACACTTATTGAGCCAGGTACCTGTGAGTAAGGTAGTAGGGACACACAGCCACTTGTTCTGAAGTCCCTGTATTAGGCCTGAGATTTGTAAATAATGGCTGTTTAGTTGCTGAGCAATAATAATAATAATAATAATAATAATAAGGAAGCATCTGTGATGCCTCTCCAGCCAGCAGATGCTCCCTAGTCTCATCCTTAGTCCTACAGTGTTAGCACTTGGTAGGTATGCAAATATTTAATGGAGAATGGTGTAGACAATGTGTGGAGATCTCAAAGGGGCCTGTGTTCTGGGCAGTCGACAGATAACATCCTGCTGTCTATAAAGGAGAAAAGCCAAGCTTGCTAAGTGCACATGACTATCCGAAGACAACAGAGCTTGGTGCTTTTTAGTATCTGCAAAGTACTGCACCGTAAAAAGTAAAATAGGAATAGACGTATGGGGCCTTCAGGCCTGTAACATCCGATAAGGGGGAGTTCTCAGTTGAAGAGGTGAAGAACTGTATTTTGCCTTTGTAATCCATGCCTTACGGGGAGCAGAACACGAATTACTGGGTATCTCACAAAGGAGAATACAAAGAATGTCCCTTAAGTGTTTATCTTTGAAAGGGAGGGAGGAAGCTGTCCACAGGACACTGAAGCTGGGAATCTTGCAGAACTTGATTTTTACAAGATAATAGAAATTAGTATCTTCATATATGACTGTCTTCTTGAGCAAGTAATAAGTGGAGAATATGTCTTGTGTGACCAACTCTGAAATAGAGTCCAGATAAATGTTAGGCTGTGGGGCAGGTAGGTGGAGACTCTCTGGAGTGTGGGCACTAGTGATTGCTAGCTCAGCATGTGAAACAGTACTTTCTAAAATTACTTTTTTTTCCTGGGGTGGGGGAGGGTAAGGCAAGGTCTTGCTATGTACTCCAAACTGGCCTCGAACCTACCATCCGCCCGCTTCAGTCTCCCATGCACTGGGATTACAGCAGCACACCACCATGCCTGGCTTAAACTTCCTTTTTTGGCTTGGGAAAACTGGGTGGGATCTGTTGTGCTTCCTGCCTGGTCCAGCTGTGCCGTAGAAAGTCGGTTTAGTGGGCTGCAGGAGGTTGTGTGCTTTGGAAAGTGACTCGTTTGCTGTGCACCTGGTAAGCTCTGTAGCAAGGGTTGACTTTTCTGGAAATGGATTCTTTCTCATTCTGTGAAAAACATTTCAAGTGTCAGGTTAGTGTTTAGAAAAAATAAAAATTATTTTGCTGTCTACATTTTAAGGATGCTCATGAGAAGAACTAGAAGGTCTATAACCAGATTTTTCCACCTCCCCTCCATCTCGAATATTAACCTACTTATGCTGCAATGTAGACTATACTATTTCCAAATTAATTTGACTGTTCTCTTATTTCTTCTTGATTTCCCCAGGGAATGAAAGCTACTGGTTGACTTAGAAACCCCTGGGCTTCACAGATTTGAAGACATCCCAGAGTAAGGCACGATGTCAACAGCAGGAGTTGCTGCTCAGGATATTCAAGTCCCATTAAAAACTGGATTTCTGCATAATGGCCAAGCCTTGGGGACTAGGAGGAGCTGCTGGGGCGGCGGCAGTGAGTTTGAGAAGTAAGTCAGAAGTGTAGTGCCCCCGTCCATGTTCTGTGTGCATTCCTGAGCTACAGCCACAGAAGATGTGATTGTGCTTGCTCATGACCATGGTGTTTTCCTTTGCTTTCAGTAACTTTCTAAACATTGATCCAATAACCATGGCCTACAGTCTGAACTCCCCTGCTCAGGAGCACCTAACAGCTCTTGGTATGTATGAAAGTCTGCAGAGTAGCGCATAGAGCCGGAGGCAGTCTGATTAGCTTTGCCTTGTCCTCAAGCAGTGTGTTCTAGGACACCTAGGCGATTTCCAACAACAGTGACACCTAGTGACAGCAGATGCTTCACTACCTGTACCCCAAGTTACTGATTCTGAAGTGAACTGTGGAAATGGGATTTTTCTAAATCAAGAATTAATTTGCTCTCAGGGATGATGCAGACTTAACTTTAAACAACCTTGGACATTATGTCTTGTGTATTCCTAGTACTAACGCACATTTAAAAGCAATAGGTGCAAGTAGTACACGTGGTGATCAGACTTAGAAAACTGCAGTATTTTAATGTGAACATTATGTTCCTTAGATTTTTGTCAAGAGCTTCTTATCAGGTGAATGCATTGCAAGTGAGTCCATTCATTCAATTACGATATGCTGGCAGGAAGGACCTCACCTCGCCTTATCTCCCTCATGCCCAGCATGCCTTGTATTGTCGCATGTCTTAAGTGGCAAACCTGGTGTAGCATGGTACTTGTGTAAATTATATGCTGTTCATCTTCTGTGAATTTTGCACACGTCACAAAACTTGCCTGGGACGTGTGGGTGTATGCCGAGCACATGTCCAAGGGAGATGGCCGAGATAATTTGTTCTTTGAACCAGATCACGTGTGTTCCCCTACTCTGGCTCTAATTAGACCTGTGGTGCTTGCATGGATGTCCTCAGGGTTACAGCAGTCAGGTGTTTCCCTGCCGTGGGTAGAGAGCTGGAGCTCAGTCCTGGGCCCTCTCATGGGGTGAAGGACAGAGAGAGTAGCACTGCCTTTGATCGGTGTCTCCGTTCCTTTCAGGCTGTGCTTCGCGGCCTGCTCCAGTGAGTGGCCACTTCTTTGCAGACTGTGGTCCGTCTCCAAAGTCAAGCTTGCCCCCTCTTATTATTCCCCCAAGTGGCAGCCTGGGACAGCGTGAAGAGGATCAAGTTGTGTGTGGTTTTAAGAAACTCTCAGTGAATGGGGGATGCACATCCACACCTCCACTTACCCCTGTCAAGAACTGCCCTTCCCCGTTCCCCTGCGCAGCTGTGTGTGATCGTAGCTCCCGGCCGCTCCCACCATTGCCCATCTCTGAAGACCTCTCTCTGGATGAGGCCGACTGTGAGGTCGAATTTCTAACCAGCTCAGACACAGACTTCCTTCTAGAAGACTGTGCACCTTCAGATTTCAAGTATGATGTTCCTGGCAGGCGAAGCTTCCGTGGGTGCGGACAGATAAACTATGCATATTTTGACACCCCAACTGTTTCTGTAGCAGATCTCAGCTGTGCATCTGACCAGAACAGAGTTGTTCCTGATCCGAATCCTCCCCCACCTCAAAGCCACCGCAGATTAAGGAGGTCTCACTCAGGACCAGCTGGGTCATTTAACAAGCCAGCCATCCGGATATCTAGCTACACACACCGAGCTTCTCCCACCTCAGATGAAGATAAGCCTGAGGTCCCTCCCAGGGTTCCCATACCTCCTAGGCCGGCAAAGCCAGACTACAGAAGGTGGTCAGCAGAAGTGACCTCCAACACATACAGTGATGAAGACAGGCCTCCCAAAGTCCCCCCAAGAGAACCTTTGTCGCGGAGTAACTCCCGTACCCCAAGTCCTAAAAGCCTTCCGTCTTACCTCAATGGGGTCATGCCCCCGACACAGAGCTTTGCCCCGGACCCCAAGTATGTTAGCAGCAAAGCCCTGCAGAGACAGAGCAGCGAGGGGTCTGCCAGCAAGGTCCCCTGCATCTTGCCCATTATTGAAAATGGGAAGAAGGTGAGTTCAACGCATTATTACCTACTACCTGAGAGACCGCCGTACCTAGACAAATATGAAAAGTATTTTAGGGAAGCAGAAGAGACAAACCCAAGCACCCAAATCCAGCCACTACCTGCTGCCTGTGGTATGGCCTCTGCCACAGAAAAGCTGGCCTCCAGGATGAAAGTGGATGTGGGTAGTCATGTGAAGCGCAAACACTTATCCTACGTGGTTTCTCCATAACTATGGGGGTCATGGCTCAGTGGAAGTTACATGGAGCGGATGGCTTCCAGTTTTCCGATTTGAGGTTCCTGGAACAGGCTGCAGAATGCAGTCGGACTCCGTCTTAATGAGAAAAGCTCAGAGCAGGCGTGAGGCGCTGTACGCTGGGAGTCCCCGATGATCAGCGTCGGAGAAAAGGGGAGAATGGGAAAACTTTTACATTTGACTACATTCTATACCTATGTATAAATGTGTGGTGTAACCATAGACCATAGCTGCAGGATAACCAATTAGTCACTGTCTTAGAGTAATATATATTCAGAATAATTAAAACCAAGCTGGAGGAACAGCTCCTGATAGTGTGAAAATTGAGCAAATGGAAGAAAGCAGTATTGTTAGATCAAATTATAAATTTGTGTGTTTGTTAAGTTCAAAGATTCCTGGCGTTAGGGCCTGCTGTATAGTTTGTGTGCCCTCCCCCCGCCCCCCACCCCCACCGCAGTTTTCTCCATACAGGACAGGGCGTGTTCTACACTAGGCCTTTGCCATCTTGTTAAAATCATTCTCTGGCCTAACACATCCAGCTCTGGGGGTTTGTCTTGTTGAGGAGGACAGCAGTTTCTGGACCACATTATCCCCTGTGTGCGCCTCGTATCTTGAAAATTGACAGAATTGGTGAATAACTTTTCCACACTATTCCTGCTTTTCCCCATCTATTGAAATGGCCCTTTGTAGCAAGAGGCTTTCGAGAAAGTGCGACGGAGCCGTGCTGGCCGTAGTGGGGGTGCAGGTTTTAGAGGTGCGGCCGTTAGCTATGTGATTGAGAGTCACTGTGGGGATGGATGGTGTGTTTGTGTTTTGTTTTTGTTTTTTAGACTTAATAAACAAGTACAGCACAAGCGGGCTTGTGTTGCTGGTTCCTGGTCAGTATTCCTGGGGTTGTTTGCTTTGTGAGTGAGACACTTCTGACCAATAGCACAGAACGTCTTAACGCCAGAGGTCACTTCAGCATCGTCCTGCTTTGGAAACTCATGGCGGGCTGCTTCACTGCCCTGAGATGCAGTGAGACACGTAGCTTTGTTCAGTTTTTTATATCCTCTGATGCGTTTATCTTCTACAGATAAGCACAAAGAGAAGGTGCTTGCTAACAGAGGGGCACTGCTGCGATGTCCCAACAAGCTGTTCAGTTTCAACTGCTGAATGACATTATTTGAGCTATTTAAAGCTTACTGTATTTTAGTATGAACTAAATGAAGGTTAAAACATGCTTTAGAAAAATGCACTGATCTCTGCACTGTGTGTACAGTATTGGACAAAGGATTTATTCATTTTGTTGCATTATTTTGAATATTGTCTTTTCATTTTAATAAAGTTATATTACTTATTTATGACACCGTTAATAATGTGTCTTGTCTAAACTCTTATAAGATGTCTCAAGCAACTGCTAGTCTTATTTTTAAGCATGACAGAAGAGTCTCTGAAGTTAATACATGTTGAAACTTATTATAGATTTCTAAATGACAATTTGAGCAACTTACTTGGGTATTATACACATGTATGGGGGCTGAGGACTTGGCTCGGTTGTTCAAATGCTTGCCTAGCATGCACAAACCCTGGATTTGATCCCTAGTAGCACATAAACTGGGCATGGTAGCACATGCCCATAAGCTCAGCATCTGGGAGGCAGAGGCTGGAGGATCAGGAGTTCAAGGTCATCTTTGGTTACATATGGCAGTTGAGGTTAGCCTGGGCCACATGAGTCCCTGTCTCAAAGAAAAAAAACAAAGCGTGTGGTAAAAGCAAGGTGACTGTTTTCACCTGGGACAGCGAAGTGAACTTGATTCCGGTGCTACTGTGAAAACAGTACCGTGAGGAGGGGCGGCAGACTTGATCTGACTCACTGTGAGCTTCAGGACTCGGTCTGGATTACTCTGGGCCCCTTCTGAGGCTTCACTTCTTGCTTGTTGGAAGCCTTTAAAGGAATCTCCACTGCCCAGGCATCATAGAGAACCCTGCAGACTGCCATGTGCTAGGGGCCTTCATCAGAGCTGGGTGGCCCTGTGTGTCAGGTGTCATTCTGGCTTGGGAGTTCTTTCGATTACAGACACTTGTAGCAGCTGCCACATGTCAGATCTGGGAAGAAGAGAGCCTTCCCCTCCCTCCCCTTACAGAATTCACAGTAACATGATTCAGAAGCGTTCAAAAGGCGACTGAAGGGCATCCTGCCTCTGGAAATTAAGTGAAGAGTTGGTAAGTGATTGAGAAGGTATGTTATCAGATGAAGGCAAGTTTGTGAGGCCAGGAAAGCAGGAAGAAGCTGGGCATGTTCCAGAAGCTGAAGGCCACAGGCGAGAGTGGGCTGTGCCACGGAAAAGGGCAGTGGGTGCAACTCAAAGGATCCTAAGTGGGAGAGGAACACGATGTGATTTGTTTTAGGAAAGATGACGGTGGCTGTTGTGTGGAGAACATTTCAGAGAAGTGAAATTAGCAGAAACACTAAAAGCTACAGGCCACGGCCCAGAACTGACACCAGAGTGGCAGCGGAATGGAGAGACGCAGGGCTTTGAAAGTTGTGGGAATGACGGGCAGGCTCCAGATTGGAGACAGTCCATGTACCACCCTTCTTCCAAAGCAGGCCATGGCTCCTGCTAGAAGGGACTCTGGGGACCTCCTCTGCCCTCTTCCTGGTGCTGAGCAAGCATTGCGTGGCACAGGGAGCCATGGGTACTTGCTTCACATTAGTTCCAACTTAGTTTCCTTCCTTATTTTTTGTTTTTTTTTTTCTTTGAACTTCTGGGAATATGCTTTTTACATTTTTTCCTGGCCAAAGAAATGTACTTAGCTACCACGCTGATAGCACACTGCTTGGAACACTCTAGAAACCATTTGCCCACCTATCCCCAGACAACATACCAAGCAAGTTGAATTTTTTTTTTCCATTTATGTGTATGGGTGTTTCGCCCGTATGTATGTATGTCTGTGCATCACATGCACGCAATACCTGGTACCCACAGAGGCCAGAAGATAGTATAGAACTGTGGTTACAGACAGCTGTGAGCTGCTCTGTGGGTGCTGGGACCTGAACCCTCGTCCTCTGGAAGAGCAGCCGGTAAGTACAGCCCTGTATAATATCTTAATTATCAAAATCGGGAAATTGATATCTGTATAATACTTGTACAATGTTTTATTTAGTTACAATCTAATACTTGTTCCTACTTTTTAAAACTAGAAACTGGTTTGGGCATTCTGTTGAATGTTTTATAAAAAGCTATAGTGTAAAGACCTAGAACGCTCACCGCACTTGGGAAGATGGAGCTGATGTCTGAGCTCTAGGCAAGACTTACTGAAGCCTCCATACAGCCAGGGCCTTGAGGTTCCACACCTGAAATGGAGAAAAAGGAAAAAGTGTTCATTTTCAATTGAGCCCCAAAACTTTGAGGTATTTTTGTAAGTTTTCTTCAGACTGAAAATGCACTTGAGGACTTGTTTTCTTTGCAGCAGGTCATTTGACAGAATGTTCTGTCCCCTCTGTTCCCTGACTCATTCCATTCTTAACAGTTTGGGGGCTGTGAGGGCTGCAGGGGAGGAGAGCGGAATTTGGTGAGCTGCCATCTGTCTACGCTGTTAGCTTCACCTCTTCCTACCTGTAACTACACAACATAGTTCAGGCGTGCCTGGCACCGTTTATTGTGAGGGTGTGAGCTTGCTCGCTTTTCACCTGCATGGATCCAGCTCCGAGATACTTGTACCTGAGCCACGAGGAGTCTGCTGCTACCACACGTTTGAACAGGCTCCCCTTGGCCCTCGCGTTGTCTGCTGGGAATTCGGGGCAGCAAACGTACTTGTGTGTGTTTTTCTGTACCTGAGCTTACATCAGAGCAACTCTGTGACTCAAAGTCGCCGCCCCATGGCAGCAGGTGGGGTTTGGGGAAGGCGTGGGGGGCTGGGAATGGATGAGAAGGAATGTGCTCTAAGTCCTAGTGGGCACCTGTCTTAGAAAGAGCTGCTGTCAGGCCAGGGGCTTAGCGTGCCTCTCGCATGCTGTCATCTCTCACCCTGTGAGTCCAGACACCTACCGGGAACCCCAAGCACAGAAGCCCATAGCAAGTGCCCACAGGGATCAGCATATCTGCCTCCCCCTTCCTGCTCCCGAAACATGGAGAAGCCATCGCCAAGGACGCGTGCTTAGGAATGTGCACGGCATTCCCTTCGCAGACCCAGGCGGCACCTTCATTCCTTGGCAGTCACCGACATCCACGTCAGTAAACATCTAGTCACAGGCCTCCCGTGGATTTCTTCACAATAGTGAGGGTTAGCCAGTGCCTTCCCCTGGGACAGCATGACTTGTCCACTCCCCTCTTGTGTAAGGCAGAATGAGTCGTGTCGTTCTGGCCTGCGCCAAGCCTTCCTCTGGCCTAGCCGTGGCACTGCCTCGGGCACAGCACACAGGAAGCTGTATTTTGTTCTTCTGAATTCCTGGCTAGCCTCATGTTCTTGGATGAACCAGTGTCCTTGTACACAGTGTCTCTCCTCCTCATTGATCAGGATTCTTGGCTGAGCCGCGCTGCGGCTGACAGCTTCTGTAGCCGGCTGAGTAATGGAGCCCAGCTCCGCAGCACGAGCACCCACGGTGGCCCGCACAGGACCAGACTTGCCTGCGTACCGCCTCAGCCCAGCCCAGGAGCCTCTAATTACACGTCTGCTGTTTGCAGGAGCCCAGGTGGCCTGGGCCCAGGCCCGGAAGAGAGCACAGGTCTGCTGTCACTGCAGGCCAGTGCAGAGGCCCCTGGAGCAGCGAGGTCCGGACGCGCATTCCAATTTCATCACAGCCGTCTCTGAAACCACTGCCACACTGTGTCATCTCCCTAAGGACCTTCCCGTGTGCCCCAAGTACAGTCAGAACCTGACCTGGCCCGGCAGGAGACTGAGGGTGGTGTGTTCTCTTCCACACAATGTGGCATTGTCTTGGGGGTGGCTCATGTGGCAGAGCTCTGGCCCATTTGACTAGCCTGCAGATGTCCCAGTGTGAACGGCCCACAGTTGTCAGGGACTCACTGTCTGCCAAGCGCTGGGCGTTCCAGATCCTGTGTGGTGACTCCAGGACTGAAGAGACAGCCTCTCGAGGGAAGCGGTTGGGGTAGTGCTGCTCATGAGGACCTGGGTCCTCAAGAGAACCGTACAGGACAAGGGATCAAAAAGTCAACGTCGTCAGTGCCGACATTGCTCCTCGCCAGCGCCAGCCAGTGCCAGCCAGCGCATCGTGCAAGCTGTGCTGTGGGCTACCAAGAAGGTGTAGTTGAACCACAGATCTGTTCGTTTTGAAGCCACTTTTTTCCTTCCCAACTTAGTTGTGGGTGAATCTGTTTGTTCTTCTTGCAAGAATCCACCAGACTTCAACAGTAGATTACCATTTGTTGTCTGGTAACAAGACTGACAAAGATCTCAAAGACTGATTTAGGGATGGTGAGGTGAGCAGGCCCGGCAACCCGAGTTTGCTTCCTGGAAGAAAATGATGCCTCAGAGTCATCCTTTGACCTCCACATGTGCGCACAGTTGCACATATATGCTCGGGCGCACACACACACACACACACACACACACACACACACACAAATAATATTTTTTTAAAGAAACTAGTTTATAGCACTAAAACTCATTTAAGGGTTTTTCCTCTAAAACCTGAAGTAGGAAACTTTTTTGTTATTAAGACGGGGTCTCTCTACATAGCCCTGGCTGTCCTAGAACTCACTCTGTAGACCAGGCTGGCCTCAGACTCAGTGAGATCCTTCTGAGTGCTGGGATTACAGACACATGCCACTACACACAGCTTGTGGGGAATGTCTATTTGTGTAATACTTGGTGCAGGGCCACATTGTAGCCCAGGCTAACCTAAATTTACTCTGTACCCATGCTGGCCTCCAACTCAGTGGTGAACCCCCTACCTCACACTCCCAAATGTTGGGATTACAGGCATGTGAGCCAGCACACCATGGGACATTATTTTTATATAGAGAGATCTTTCGATGAACAGTCCTGCCATAGACAAAAGGAGGTCAGGCTGCCCACCCAGCACGCATAATTCCATCCTTCCTTCATCCCCACCCCAATACCCACTTCCTCTACACAAACTCATATTATTCTCTCTGAATCACACACAAACACCACACCCTCAGGTGCACATAAAGCTATGTTGTGCACACCCCAACATGTGCTGGGAGAATCAGGGCTGCCTGAGTGGCTCCTCTGTCTTCACTGGGAGAGATTATCACCTCACCTCTCTCCCTAACCGGGTCCAGCCTGGGGTCTAGTGGGAAGGCTTTTCACTAAAAGTTGACAGTCTAGTTCTGAGGATGTTTTGTAGTTCCTTCTGGGGTTAGAAATCCTCACATCA